GAGAGTGATGATTTATTTCTGCCCATCCGCAGTAAATAGCGCAAAAGAGATTTTTGTAAATTGAATAATAATTACTGTTCATTGAGATGATTTCAGGATCTAAATAATACAAAAAAAGCTATTTTCATATAAGAATACGAACTATTCATTTTGATGGATAGCCGATCTAAAAATATGAAAAAGATATTTTTATAAAATAATAGTTACTTTTAATTGAAATAATCACATGATCTAAATGGAAGAAAAAAAGTTAACGCTATAAAGCAATATTTACCACTCATGCCGCACGTTTGCTCGCAGTACCATCGTTATTTTGCGGTACTCGTAAGAATCAGCGGTACATATTGATATACCAGCGGTAGCACTTAGTACTTTCAGCTTCAACTACAACGAATTTTAGATTATTTTCTACTCAAATTCGAATTTAGTACTAGAAAGTATTCAAATTCATCGACAAAAAGAACCAGTTTCAGAATATATTTTGCTAATGAAAGCGTTTGCAGCGCCTTCTATAATGAAAACTTATCTCACTCAGAATTGAGGTCGAGATTAGGACTCTATGGCTATCACAGGCGGTTTGGATCCATCAACATCAACTGAACTGCATCAAAATCGATTCAAATCTGTCAGTTTTTAACAAACCTCAAAAATACACTCCCGCTTCCATACAATGCACCATGATACACCACTCAAAAACAAACTGACGGTATAGCGCACATTAAACCGATCGGTACAATACGGTCTACCGCCAGTTTTTGTCCGTCTCGAGTCATATGAGTGTCTACTTTGATGATCCGATGATCTGAATGAAAGAAAAGTTTTTCTATTAATAAATAAATAATAATTCTTGTTCCCTGAGATGATCCGATGATATAAATAGAAGAAAAAAATATTCATTTTATATAATAATACTTACTGTTGAAGTTTGGAAAATCGCCCATTAATGGCGATTTAATGTCATATCCGAAAAGTCACTAATTAATCGCGATTAATCAACGATTTTTTTCACTCTTTGAAAAATCGCGAATAGTTGGCGATAAATCGACGATTTTATTTGCTGCTGAAAAAATCGTCGATCAATCGCGATTAATCGCCGGTTTTTTCAAGTATCACGAGTAATCGCGAAAAATAATGCGATTTTTATGACATGGGTGAGCAGTTAAATGCAAGCCAATTCAGTTGTTAAATATCTTACGTCTGACATTCAGATATTCAGCTGTTCAGCTGTTAGCGGAAACGCACATAAACCGCATCTCTGCGGATGTGGTTGCCGCGGATACATATCTACACGATGTTTCTCTCGAAATACCTGAAATGGTTTGCAATAATTGACTTCAGCTTTCAGATTTTACATTACTGTCCTTTTTTGTACTCTCGGTATAGCTTGTTTTTCTTTCGTTCTAGTTTGCCATCGTGCTCAATCATGTCGCTGATCTACGTTGATTCCAGACGATGCATCAGTTTGGTAAAAAATAGACTTCTATTGAGATCTCTTTTAACGCTTCGGAGTCGGTTCATCTGCATTCTTTTGTCAATCATGATGTTCACAATTCTTCTGTTCTCTATTTGGTCGATAGCCGACAATAAATACAGAAACGTCGAAAAGTTTGCAACAAGTCGTTCTTTCTTTGACATTTTTTATGAAAACCAAAGAATGCATCATCCAGTCTGTGCCGCTATTCAACATCCCAACATAACTATCGATTCAAATATGAGTAGTGCCTATCATTTGCCTAATAGTTCCTTGAATGTCAAGAATGAAACTATTTCTAGCTGGAATTATTCGAATTATTCTGACTTTAAATTGCTACTTCAGTCTCGTATTGCTCTTCGTCTTATCCGCCATGGTGAATTACCGATCAATGCTCTTTTTACAAGTCCACTTTTTATTGACATTCCTTATCCTTTCTGCGATGGATTATGGCTAGAGTTTGTATGTTGTCTAAGTTTCAGTAAACAGAAAGCCTATTTTTCAGTTCGACAAGATCCTACTAATTATAGATAATTCTCAAATGAAATTTTTCAAAGGAAACCAAAAAGCACATTACTCTTTACTACTCGATATTCGAAACTCAAAACCATGTCAGACAAGCAAATTGAGCTATTTTATAGGATTGAAAATGGAATATTATCACTGTCCTTCTTGAAGTATTTCGTGAGACATGCTTCGTTCTTCGATTATTATTGAAATTAAGAAGATCTATACTGAAAGCTTGGATTTGTCTGTCGTCGTTCATTTATTTTATTGACTATGCTGAAAGTTGACAGACAAAGCTCTGGTAGTCGAAACTCGTTCAATGTAATCGTAGATCAACTGTTAACATGAGTTCTACACTAGGGTTGATTGGTTTTGTTTTCAATCTAGGGTGTCTTTCAAGGTGAAAGTATTTATAAATCAGCTAGCTGGAAGTCGAAATATTGTGGAAATTCAAGTCAGCCAATATTTGGATTCGATTCGTTTCAGGTAGATATTTTTTATCTTCCTCTTTAATTCTTGTTTTAATAGGGTCTCCCTGCCGATTGGCGTCCAAAATATCTCCGTGGTCATTTTTTCTTCCACAACACAAGCGTACCGAATGTTCCGACAAATGTTAAACTGGTTCGAGGGTGGTTTATCGACACTTTACCTTCGTTTCTTCAAAACATTGATCGCCATTATCATCACTGCTCACCACCAGTGACCTATCTCCATATTGATTCTGATTTGTATGACAGTGCTCGTGATGTTTTTTATCTGCTTGGTAATCGTCTTGTACCTGGGTCAATTATAATCTTTGACGAACTCACCAACTATCCGACCTATGAAAAACATGAAATGAAAGTTCTCTTCGAATATATGTCGTCACATGCTGACTTTCATCTTCGAGTAATTGGAGCAGCAACTCCCATGCACTTACAGCCGACAGAAGATATCTATTACCAATCAGTAGCATTTACGGTTGTATAAAGTGCTAATAAACATGATGCATGATTAATCAGTTTCTCTACACATATAAGCTTCTAGTTATTGTTCGAATGTAGGCATCAAGTATATCTACCGATGGAAAATAAAAATTTTAATTTATATTTAAATAAAATTCTCAGAAATAATTAGTAAGGCATTTCTTAAGCGTTATTGTCAAGAAAATAATCGACAAACAATTGAATGAAAATAATACCATGAGAAATCATGGCTTGATTTTCGCACAAGATTCGACATCTAACAAAGAGATGAAGGCACACACGCAACGAAAAGATTTTTGTGATAAAAATCGCTTTTCAAAAAGCATCTCATCCCAATCTTAGAATCCATCTACATTCATCATTAATATTGGATGAATCGAAAATGAACGCATGATTGATGGAAAGAACACCGCCGACTAAGGAGTGAAATCGACCACCTCCTAAAATCTTGCTTTGGATATGCCAGTACCATAGACTGCATTGAACTGCATAAATCTGAGTATTTCGTTTTCCAAAACATCATCAAGAGGAAAATTTGCTAGCTTGATTACTCTCCATAGTTCACTATGGCCTATCCTCACCAACTATCATAGGTAGTTTCTGTTGAATCAAATGTATTCTTGAAGCTTATAGTATAAATCAATACGGCTTAAGATGCATTGAAAAAATTTTATAAACATTGCCTAGAACTTCTTTCATTCTACTCAAACGTTTACACAAAAGATCAACGAATACCGTTCACATGCAGTAGTGGACAACATTTTTCGTACGATTTTGTTTTGAATGTAACTTCATCAAAACACAGCCTTTTGGCATGCGGTTTTCGCCAATAGAACACGCATTGTCGGTAGTATGTCCATACGAAAATTCATCTCAGAAAGTTGACTCACACATGAACTGAACTTAGGGTGTGGGTGTGGGTGCGGGTGAAAATGATATCTATATCTACATCCACACCCACCCACACCCACACCGCACACCCCACACCCACACCCACACCTACACCCACACCCACACCCACCACCCACATCCACACCCACCCACATCCTTTTAAAAAAGCTTCCTTGTGGAGCTCCTCGTACTATATTGTTGCTGTTTGAAAAGAGATTATTATAATCTATAATCATTGTTCGATCGTTGAAATAGTTTTATTATCCATAAAAGATATGGCATTGGGTAGTTTAAACGCTTTAACTATAAAAGAGACTCTATTACCAAAGTATATCAAAGACTTGTTTAAAATCTAAAAAAAGAACCGAAGTGAAAGTGTTATAACAAATGGAATTTATTAGCTGTTCGAGTAGATGGTTCACTATTGATGCTGTGCTTTGGTTTGCTCATGCATGTGATTGTTGTCATGGTAGGATGTTGTGATTCTTTAACCATTTTTGAAATCTTAGTAGAAAGAGACGTTCATATACCTTTCCAAGAGCTGATAAAAGAGAAATAGGACGTAGTTGGTATGTTATTGATACTGGATTATCAACTTCGTTGAAGCATATAGTTCGAGCTTGTTTTCAACATTTACTCCAATGTGCCCATGCAAATAGTGAATTATATTGTCATGCTATAATGGAGACATAGTTTTCATGTAATATTTTGATCTTGAGAATGGGAGATATGTGGGTGCGAATATACCAGAAGGCAATATCAAAACCTACACCAATACTCATGCACTCACACCCCACACCCTCTTGTGCAGTTGTTTGCTCTGAAATGGTCACGAGACTGTATCTATCAAATATATCAAATAGTTTCATCACTAACTCTTCTGAAATTGTTATGAAGAGTATAAAGGATTAAAATTCTCATATATTCTCTTTTATTTTTCTTCTAAAAGAAGATAAATCGCGTAAATAGATACAAATCAATGAAATCAAAAAAAGGATATAAAAAACGGTCGAAGCAACAGCAGGTTATATCTAATCATTGCTTGATTACATATTTTTCGAAAACCAACCATTGACATGCGACAAAAAAACGGTGAAGATCATAGTTGTACTTGTTTACTACCATTAACAATAACATCAAACAAATAAATTACATAAATTAATAACTTACAAAGGTGTGTTTCGTTTGTTAGCAACTCTGCCAGCAGTAGTTTTAATATTATCTATTGTATCACCACTTTTATCAACAGAAGTGGAAGTTGACGGTTCCAAATCTAACGAAAACACTTGTTTCTACAAAACAATACAATATTTCTCAATAAATAAAGTCGTCCTTAAAAACACTCACTGTATCTGTAGCCCATTGAGATGCTTTATTAGTGGTATCTAAATAATCAAATAATAGATAAATCTTGACAATAAAAAATTAGTATATTATCCGAACTTCTCATTACATCGATTTACCTTCACGAGTACTATTAATAGTTTGATTTGCAGACGATTTAGCTTGTTCAGGATAGTCAGATTCTTTATTTCTACTTTTATTTGCATCTGATGGATTACGAGACTCTTCGAAAATCACGTTATCAACATTACCAGGTGAAAAACTTCAAAAAATTGTACATTCATACAACTATCAATCTATTAGACAAAAAGTAACAACTCAGTCTCGTCATGAATAGCGAAGATTTCAAAAATTTGAAGACTTTTCGGAAAAATAACCGTAGTTATAGTTAAGTTGAAAAAAGGAGACCAGAAGCTATCTCTAAAATTATTGTCACTATTAACTTGATATTTTGTACAACTGTACTTCGTAATTAAGATTATCATGCAAAAAAAAGGACGTGCAGGAATGCCTCCGTTTCTCCGACGTACTAAACCTAGTCAAGTTCAATTTTCTAAACAGATGCTAGACGTCGCTAGGAGTGAGTATATTTTTTTTCTTTCAAAAACGTTGTTCTGTTGATTTATGGTAGATCTTACAAAAAACGTGCAATTTTAGAGTATCTTCAATATTGAAGCTTTTTATTCGAAGTAAAAAAAAGTAAAGAGAAAACGAAATGAAAGACCCACCTCAAACGATATTCAGTACGTTTCAGTAAAAACTCCGTAATCCTACTGAGTTATACTCGAAACTTCGTACACATAATGCTTTCAATGGGACTTATTCATTGGAAAATTTTCGGCCATATTACTGGCTTCTAACAAGAAAAGTGAAATTTTCAAAATGAACTAATCGCTTTACGAAAATTATTTTTGTAAATTATTAAGTCACAGTTTCATTTCTTTAGTGCAGGAACCTTGAAACCTAAGTCATTCTAGACTATTGAATCGCTATCTGGTATTGACTGAATTAACATAGTTTCAATGCAAAACTAATTTGGTATAAGGTAAGTCTCTGACGTTAGAATCGCATACTTGCTATAAGAACTTTGCTAGAAGTTATATTATTTAATTCAATCTTGACCAATCTAAAAGATTAGTAATCATATTGCAAATCAATGAGGACAGATATGTGTTAAAAGTCACATTGAAGATGGCAGATTTAAACTATTATAAAAGTCTAGGAAAAATCCAACAAAAGAAGTAGATTATCTACCATGCATGATTTCTTTTTTTTTGAAACATTATGAGTGAATATTTAGACCTAGTGGAACAGAAGAAACTTCTCAAAATCCTGTAATATAGAATAAATATATAAAACTAAATAACTGTGCCATATCTATGCAATACCATTAGAACGTCGAAATCATGTCATTAGGGAAGAAGTTCCAAAAATAAAACGATCGTGGGATTTCTCAACAGTTCCTACTTCTTTCATAGCTATCTGAAGGTTGATATGGTTGTCGGTTTAAATCACCAGTGCTTTTTCCATAAGTACTTGATTTCCCAGATGCTGGGCGACTTATGGCTTCATTATGTGTTTGCATGAAGTTACCACTAGCACTTTGATCTGAACAAATGACATTAAATGTATTGAATTGAAAATTAAAAACAAATAACTGACTAGATCCTTGAACATCAGATACATTTCGATCTGTAAAATTTTCAAGATGTTTTTATTTTATTTCCTAAATAATTTTTTAAAATAAAACATACCAGTACTATCATTACCAGTAATCGTATCAAGAACAGTTGCTATAACACTATTAACTGCTTGTGTAGCTGTTCCAGCGATTTGATCAATCTGATCAACACCTTGTTTGACATAATCCATTGGACTTTTTCTTTGTTGACTAGTAAGTGTATGTATAGAACTTGTCTGTACAACTATAAATATTCAAAAAATAATCTTTGAAAATAAATGATCAAAATTAGATTTTCGATTACCTTTTGAAGCATTTAAGAAGTTACGTATAAGATTACTAGCCATAATATTTATTTTTTTTAATTAAACAAAATCTAAAAAAATAACTGAGTTTTTTACTCATCGACTTTCATGTTTCTCAAGATACATTCGAAGAAGAAGAAATGACAAAAAAAAGAAACGTTAGACAAAGTAATGCAATAATCGTACCCAATGCATACTTTGTGGTACGTGTCTTTTACACGTGATGATGCTATAGCATAGTATCAGAATTAGAAGTATCAATGAGTTCTTATAGAAGAACACGGAAAAGAAATTCTATGATAGAATAATCTTTATATATGTTTTTCTATGATTGAAATTGATGAAAAGCATGAAATAAAAGTATAAAAGTCAAATAAAATAAAAATTAGCGATATTTAACAACAATACTCGTGTGGTTTTGCGCAATCCATAGAGAATGACTAGCAAAATTTTTCTCAAAGAAATAGTATAAAGCGAGCGAAAACAATGAAATAACTTAATTCAATTTCAATCGCTTGTTTTCTTCTTTCCATCCGAAATTTCAGTTAAAGTCACTATTGAATTGTAAGTACCCATATGCTCAAAATAGTGAGAATATTGGCAGTTAATCATGATATAGCGAAACAATAATCTTAAGCTGAAATGCAATATAATCGCCAATTTTCTTCAATTATTCTGTCGATTTTTGTGAAAAATCGCGCTTTTATCACTGATTATTATTCTCTCTTCTATTAACAAATTAACTGATTTTTTTTCGTGCAGTTTCGATATTCTGCTGCTATGCTGAGAAATCTTCTTCACTGAACTCATTTTGATGAATATTTTATTTAGAAAAAAAAAGATATTTAACTTGTTCTACATGAATAAAATATTCAATAAATGAAACACCACTATAGCATCTAAGTTTTAAAATACACTCAGAGAAAACTTTTAAAAGAAATAGACAGTACAAAAAAAAAAGTTCGAATGTTCGAGTGAACACGCGAGGTTGCATTTTTATATTAAATTACTTCATGCATAATTCTGGTTTCTTTCATGAAATGAGTGTGTCAAACAGGTAAATAAAAAGTTGTTATCAAGAGACAGGATTATAAAGAAGACAATAAAAAGTTTCATCTGAAGCAATCAACACAACTTTTTTTAATTTAATTTTAACTTACGATCGAATGATTCATGTAAAAATAATCTACAATAGATATATTTGGATTAACGAATTACACGATGTGAAAATAGACATGAAATTTTTGTACTATTAAAAACATGTTTCCAAGAAGATAAATAAATTGAATTATAAGTTCAGCTCGACTGTCTGTTTCTGAAAATTAACCAATCTTGTTTAGTTTCTATGAGTGACATCCATCAAAAATTGAATATTTCTTTTAATTTCGAATTGCTCTAATTTTAGTTAAAAAAATGTATATAAATTAAATTTCTATATTAATTAAAAGAATCTTTCAAAATTTATTTGATTACTAGTCACTACTTGATATGCTTTCTAAAATTGGTGATTAAACATAATTTATCGCTTCAATTTAGGGTGTGGATGTGGATGTGGGGTGTAAGTGTTGATAAAGAGAAGGTTATCACTCACATCTGCACTCACAGCCACACCGACCCTACACACCCATACCTATCCATCACACACTCACACACATCTTTTATGAAGTACGAACATATGATCCAAAATGTACGCTTTGAGCTCAATGTATAGAGAGTTTTCTTACAAGTATCGATATGATGATTGCAGCCATTTTCAATATTATGTCATATAATTTAGATTTTACGTGAGAGTCAATAATATAAATTATCGACAAGAAGTTCATCTTTGTTTCAAGAAGATGTCGTGATCGACATTTTTCTAAAATAGTATATAGTCCTCAATGGATAATTCGGGCTTCTATATAGAATAGTGCATAATATTAAATACTTCGAAACTATGAACAATCAGTTAATTACAGTGATTGCTAAAGAATTTATTCGAGTTCAACAGAGAAGATATGCATGATTATGTTCTTAAACACATAGATTTAGATTTCACTAGTACATTCCCAAAAGAAATCGAGCAAATATTGGCGTCATTATGACATCATACTATTTTGAAGAAAAGAAATGTGAAAAAGTAGTAAGATGTCGCCGTAATATACAATACAAAAGTAGTGTAATTACACAACTTCAACACCATCGAATACAATATGACTAGTATGAAACCTCCGCGCAGGAATATTCACGTGTCATTTATAGAATTGACTTATTATGTAGAGTTATAAAGTGAATATAATTGATCATGGAGCTGTGTCACAAAATTCTTATATAGTGTTTTCATGCCGTCTCAATTCCCAATGCTTCTTTCACTGTGATTTTTTAACAACTACCGAATAGATGTTTATTCTTGATTCACTAAAATACTTGTAAAAGTAAGATAAGATTTCTCATAATAAAGGTTAAAATTTCTTCCCGATCTATTCATAGATCTTTTCTGTACATATTACTGACGGTAGACAATATTTTATTCTTTTGTCATTTGAACGAAATTTCTGATAAAAGGTAACTATTTTCATAATGGAATCGTTTCTATGACTGATCAATAAGTAAGAAGGCAAAAAAAACCTTGGGACAATTTCTGAGTCATTCGAATTAGCCGAGAAAGAATCGACTTGTTTCTCTATCAAGTGTAGCAACATTTTCTTTTAGTTATTCTATGATAAGGAAATGTTCTTCGATTTAAAAATGAAAAGAATGTTATCTATACAATAAAAGCAAAGACTACGAACCTAAATCAAAATCAACTTTTACATTATGCACGAAAGTCTATCACATAATCACAGTCTCTATGACAAAGCAAAAACCTAGCGAAAAAAAAATAAGACTCATCTGAAAGAGAACTGATTTCAGATAACCGTTTGCTTTTTTATTTTGCCCAGATTCTACCAAGGAAAGACAATGTATGCATCATCAAACCATCATCAAATCAATCGTATATCGAATCGATCAGAAATTATATCGGTTCTAGAGAATGTTTCGCTCAAAATTCAATCAAATTATGCTATCCTAATTGGTTCGCGGGCTGCTCAACATTGGTTGCCAAACTTTCGACGAAGTTCAAATGAGAATAATACTGATTGGGATATTATTTGTTCTTCACATTTTTTATTAGATTGGTTACATCAAAAAGACACTGAAGTGAAGACTATTGATATGATCATTCCGATATCAAATGATAATGATTTGTTAGATCTCTATGTCTATGGTACCTTGGATAGTGATTTCAACTATGATTTTTCTATTCCTCGATCATCTGAATCCTATACGGCGTATCTCTTAAATAATTGGGAAGATTGGACAAGCGAAACGTTTGAGGGTGGCTGGTGGAACAAAAGAAAAAGTTCATTACAAAATGGTTCAGCTAAGCTTTTGTTAATATTGAAAAAATTCATGCTCTACTATTCACATCAATGGGTCAAAATGGCAACAGACTATCGACAATTGCTCACGGTTGCTGATCCATTGACTGAAAATGACAGAATCTTGTGTGATTTATTTGTTCAATACAATGAAAAAGTGCACGGCAACAGGCCAGATAATACCGATCGGTACGTTATTTCTCCGTCTAGTACCCACAAAGGTATAATCATCAAACGAGACGAGTTTTTCACACAAAATAAAGATCAACAATTAGCATTAATTTATCATACAGCAATGTCAATGGCAATCAGTGATGATATTCTCATTGGTTTGGAAAAAATTTGTACACAAGGTCCACTCTGGTTAGCCGATTTTGTGATTAATAATTGGCTTCCTATTCATCATGAAAAATTCAAACAAAAGATTAATCCACCGAAACCCTTGATAGAATTCCAAATAGACAATTATCGTTTTTTTTCAGAAATACCTGAACTAGTCCAACAAAGAATTCTTCATAATATTACCGATACTAGCAATTTTTATTCGATGAAATTGGTGTGTAAACGATGGTATGCCATCATACGTCAAGATCTCTTCTGGCGGGATTTGTATGTATCCTGCTATGGGAAAATTTCGGCTCGAATTGATGATGTTCGCAGTTGGAGAATAATGTATTTTACTAGACTTGAGGAAAACATTTATGACAATCAAGAGGAATTTCAGAAATTAGTCGATGCATCACTTCAATTGAGACAAACGAAAGCGGAAGATATTGTTCAATTATGGGAAGATTTGACACGTGAAGATCAACCAGTTAAACCTGATATGTTTTCCAAATTGAATTACATTTTATCGAATTCATTTTATATTCAAATGAAGGAAACATCGGACGAGTATTTAGTGAAACTAATTATCATTGGACTCGATGAAGTACATTCACGAGTGAGTGCTGATTTGAAATTACATATCGGTGAATATGGAAGTTCTCGTTATACCGATTATATGGAAGAATTGTCGATCGAATTAATAGCAACTGATAATACACGCCGTTCATTGAAATTTTTCGGTCCAAGTTTATTTGGGTTTTATCTAGGAAAATGGGGATATTTTCCTCGTAAAAGCACTCTGCTCACTCAAACTCCTAGCATTCTTTATCCTCAATTTCCATCTGGACTGCTCGTTTGTCTACTTATTATGTTGACGCATCCAGCTCATCGAGGTCAATTTATTAAATATCTAAAAAGACTCGAGAGTCACTGCGCTAGAGTATATTCAACTACAGATTACTGACAAATCGAGACACATGCCATTCTCTTCCGCGTCATAATTTTGTATTCGTAAAATAAATCCGAATTTGAAAATATTCATAGCTCTGCAAGCGTCATTGATTATCGATCGATTTGGACATCAACCGAAAAAGAAGCGCCAACGTCTTGCCTTGATAGTTTCGATCCTTTTGTTTTTTGATTGAAATCGATTTGGGTGCGGAGTGTGAGTGTGAGCGAGTATTGATGGACGTCGGTTGTCTGTGTGGGAGTGCATGAGTGTGCATTTGAGTATGGGCCTACACCTAACTCACACCCATACACTTTCGATCTTCGTTTAATTCGTCTCATTTGTAATAGAAATGTGGTTTATTT